ATTCCATTCCGAGATATTCCTTTGTGTACAGTTTGTAGTTGTGGCAAACTCATATCTGACCACATCTTCGAAAGGGATTAAATTGAATTTCGCGATCAATAAACCGTTCGTGTAATGGCCCAATTATCAAGTTATTGCTCACTCGAGTGCATGGAAGAAAGTATATAGATATTTTTTTCTTCTTACAGTAATAATTTCGTCCTAATTTTTTCTTTTATATTTCAAAAAACACAAGTATTGTTTGTGTTATGCAATTGATTACAGGCAATAATAACACGTTTCATAAATTCAAAAATAAGTATGTAATTGAATTGATAAGAAAAACGTTAGAGCAAGACGGTAATACTTGTTCCTCTTCGAAGCGTTACATAACAACTCAAGGTGTATTAGAAACATATAACAAGTTTAAAACATCAATGTTCGACGATTTATGATTGAAAAATATATATAAAATACAAAACAGAATACTCTGAAATATTCTTCTAATAATATTAAAAAGAATTATCTTGGAAATTAAATTGAAATGAAAAGTAAGATAAAATGACGAATGTAATTTTTTTCTTTTATTTTTAATATTTCATATTTTTATTATATTATATAAAACTAAAATTTAATAAAATAAACATTAGACAATAAAAATAGAAAATTAATATAAAATTACGATTTCTCGACTTATATTATAAAAATCTGATTTAACTTAAATTAATGAATGAAAGTTCAAATAGATATAAGTTTTGCATATATTGCAATAAATATTGGCGTTTATAAAAATATATAATTGAATACCAAATAGTGCTTATTTATGTATTATTTATCCACATAACTTTTACGGAATAAAACGATGGAGATAATAGTGAATACACTATTTTATTATAATGATTGATTCACTTTTAATCTCCTATTTTAATCTCTCAGGTCAAATATTTCATACAATACAGAAGATATGAAAAAATGGACAGAATTACAGAAGATAGAAAAAAATGTTTTAGATAAAAATAATATCATCATTTATTTCATTTTATAATGCTGCTGAACAGGTCTATAAAGATGAATGTCAAATTAAATTTAACTGAAATCTATTTTTTATTATATATTGTTATAACTGGCATCGAAACGTTTTAAAAGCACTCTTTCTTTGAGATACGTCTTTTCCAAGATATGATCTGCTACGTCGCACCGCTAATATTGGTATTACTTGATATATAGTCATAAAAAAGACCGATTGTATATATTTATATGTGTATATAAATATATATAACACATTTATATATATATTTATATGTGTATATAAATATATATATATCACATTGATATATAATTTGTATATATCATATTTTTATTCTGTTCATATTCTCTTTATTTTTTATATGATATGAATAATATGATCATATGATATGAAAAATAAACTTTTATAAATTTTAAGTTAAAATTTTTGAAATCAATAATTTTTTTATAGGAAATACGCAGATAAATTGTTTAATGCATTGAAAATTATATAGTTCCATTTAAAAAATAAAATTGATCTAAAAATTTATCCCTAAACTATTCAATCTAGAAAAAAATTCTTCTAAACTAAATAATTTTTGTTTAAATATTTTCTTAATAATTTTAATCTTTTTTTTAATATTTTATATATTTTTTATATATATATTATAATGTTTCAATTTTCTTTTAAAAATAATATATTTTTGTTAAAACTTGGAAGATAAATATTATTAATGAAATTGTTTTATTTCATTAGAAAATTAAATATTTCATTAAAAAGCTTATATTTTTCAATAACAACTTATTCCAATGCAGTGACAACTAACTCTATGATATGAATAAGGTTAATATTTCCACTTCAATCAATCACAAATAAATGATAGTTCTTATAAAAATTTAATATTGCAATATATTAAATATAAGACTTAGAATCATAAAATAAATATAATTCTAAATTAGTCAATAAAAAAACAATTGCATTATTTTCCAGTCATTTTGTAGTCATTTATTATCTTATTATATCTTATTATCATTACTTTATGTATCACTTATATATATTTTTCAGAATCGAAATTTTTAGCTTCTCCTATTTATTTTCATTTTATCATAATCTCTTATGTTTAAAAATATATTTTTAATATGTTTTTAATGGTTTCGTAACAGACTCTTAAAAAAAAACCATTAATAGACATTAAATTTATTAAAAGATTATCTATCTATTTTTAAATAAGTAATATTTAAAAGAATATATAAAATTGAAAATTTCACTAAACAGTTGTTTAAATGAATTAAACATTGATTACTTTGAAACTTAATTTGTAGAGAAACATGGAAAGTGAATTCTGGCATACGACAGGAAATGAAACTAAAGCAATAGACTAATATAAGCCGAAACTAAGGTTATTAATAAAGTTAATTTAAATGTCAAAATTGCATTCAGAATGTGAACAGGATTTCCTGTGTACGTTGCAAAGAATATCTGTAGGTACATGTTAACTCATTAATCAAAGCTTCACATGTAGAAATAATGGAAAAAGAGAAGAAAAAAAAAAAA